CACACACACACACACATATATGTGTGTGTGTGTGTGTGTATTCATATATGCGTGTGTGAATATATATATATATATATATATATATATATATATATATATATATATGTGTGTGTGTGTGTGTGTGTGTGTGTGTGTGTGTGTGTGTACATATATATTTGGTTGCGAGAATTATGATCGTATTGTGCTGTACACATCTGGCGTGTAAGTTTTTGGTATTATGAGGAATATCGGTCTGTCTAACGTGTTATGTTTATATATGAACTATAAAGCATACCGCTTACACATACACACATGGAAAACATAGACAAAACATATCCCTTTCCCTCACGTATTAATGTGTTTTTTTTTCTTATCAATGAAGTGTGGAAATCCCGTATGTTGTCGCCAGGATCGGTCCCCTCCCCCTCCCCTCCCCCCCCACGGGCGACGCAGGAGAGGGGGGCAGGGAGCGGCGCCACCCCCCCCCCCCGTGAGGAACGATTGGCCGGGAGTGATTGTGATTGAACAATCGAACTGCTCGGGAAAGACGAATGATTTTGTCTGAATAGAACGCAGGAGAAAAACACGTATATACACACACGTATATACATACATACACGCACATAAAAATATATATATATATACGCATATATGTCTGTTAAATAATCATAGATGCGTGTATGCATTTGTATCTGTTTAAATATTTATCTATATATTACATAAATGCATTGTATAGATACAATAGATATGGAAAGATTGGGTAGGGGGGGATAGTGAGGAAAACTGTGGTATGTGGGGGTCAAAGGATGACAATACCAGTAAAAAAAAATAAATAAATAAATAAATAAATAAACAAATAAATGAAATAAAATAATAAAAAAAATAAACCTTAACTGTGTGGTATGTGGGGGTCAAAGGATGGCAATAACAGTAAAAAAAAAATAAAAAAATAAATAAATAAACAAATAAATGAAATAAAATAATAAAAAATAAAACCTTAACTGTGTGGTATGTGGGGGTCAAAGGATGGCAATAACAACAATAAAAATAAATAAATAAATAAATAAATAATAACAATAAAAAATAAATAAACAAATAAATGAATTAAAATAATAAAAAATAAAACCTTTTTCTTTTCCACTTCTTAGCGAGTTCTAGCCTATTGAGAAGCTTCCAACCCTGCATCGAGCACACGAACCGGTTCACGCAATGAGGTTTTATTTGTGAAATACAGCTTTGCGTTGAACCTTGCTTTCAATATGAAGTATATAAAAAAATAATGGATAAATAAATGTTCGCATGTGTGTGTGTGTGTGTATATTATATAATATATATATATATATATATATATATATATATATATATATATATATATGTATGTATGTATGTATGTATGTATATGTATATATGTGTGTGTACATATATATATGGATGTATGTATGTATACATCCATATATATATATATATATATATATATATATATATATATATATATATATATATATATATATATAATATCTGCGTGTGTGCGTGCGTGTGTGTGTGTGTATATACATGTATATATACAGTATATATATATATATATATTATATATATATATATATATATATATATATATATATATATATATATAATATATATATATATATATATATATATATATATATATATATATATATATATATATATATATATATATATATATGGTATATATGACAATAAGCCAAACAAATAGTAAAGTGTTAGTGTTACGTCAACCGGCGTATCGAGAGGGTTAGCAGTTCAGGATACTTGTGTTAGTAAAGATAACTAACTACATATTTCTTCTCCCCCCCCCCCCCAGAAAAAAAGTCAGAAATTATTTTTTTTCTTTCTTTCTTTCTGTCTTTCTTACTTTCCATACCGAGGGTAAGGGCAAATGTTCATAATATTAATGAGAAAATAGACGCAGCTGTAGCGGTTATACATTTATTGTGCGATTCATATGAAATGACTACATCGACAGAATTAGTCTTCTGTAATAACCATATTTCATAATTTTTTTAGTTTTCGTATCTCAGAGTTGTAATGTTTATGGTACTTTTAAACACGGTTTTTTTGTGTCATTTCTCAACAGTTTATTTACTTCTATTAACAATTTTTTTAAAAGTACATAATATTAGAGAAAAAAGTGAATACAACAAATTTTGTAAAATCCGGAGCAGATTGTAGTAATTAAACCTATCAATAACTTCAAGGTTTAAAAACTCATCTAATCAGTCTAAAAACACATATAACACATCTTGTGAAATCACCTTTGCAGATGTTCTCCCAGCATATGCATCAGTATAACCTTCCAAAGAATAGTTATAAATTTCCATCAACGAGATAATAAACGACAAAGATAAGGACTTTGTATATTCCACGAAGCAAGTCCATTAAAAGAACAACACCTGTAACGACACTTGTAACTCTTATAAACACACTTATGCTATAGATGCGGTTGCTGAAGGTGCCGCTAAACAATAGTTCACTGATACACTAACCACCTTGGTATACGGACCTCACGATTACGTTTCAGAAAGGAGGTATCCTTTGTTTTGGCGAAGACTTCGAGGTAAGATCTGGGTCCTTTCTTGTGTTCAGAATGAGTTTTTTTCTGTTTAGTTCGTTCTTCTTCTTTATACGTCGTTTGTTCTTTCTTGTGTGTGTTCGGTGTGTCTGTTTTGTTTTTTTCATTTTGTTCTTTATTTTTTTGTTTTTGGTTTTTGGTTTTCTTTAGACGAAGTGGAGGTTGGTGTTCTTTGGAGTTCTATGTGTCTTACGTGTAGCTTTAAGTTATAGATAAGTGATTTAAATATTCACGTTTTTACAGTACCCTTGTGTAAATATGCATTATCATGAAACAAATACAGGTGCAAGTTTTCACTGTATTTTCATCGTGTTTACTGTATACTTCATCATCATCATTTAACCTAACATCTACTCAAATCTACATGCCTAAAAAATACAGAGCTCAGTTATATCCAATATATATTCGTTTTCGTTTATCGCTATATCATCAAAGTCAGAGAATAATAAACAACAAAGACATATTCATCAATCAAATTAATGACTTGTATATCAACCAAACGGATCCCACGTTCCCGTTTTTTTCATTTATTATCTTTACACATAGATGGCTCCACCAGTCACCCATGACTCGATGATTAACCGTTTTCCTCGATTTTCTGAAATTTTGACTGTTCTAGTAGTATTATAGATAACATTATGATGACCATAATAACAGTGATAATAAGCACATATTGTCAGCAACAGAAAAAAAGCGAAAACTCAAGTAAAGAAAAAATTTACGAAGTTAAGCACTTGTGGAGCCATCTATGTGCAGACAAAAGAAACTTACACTCGACAGGACACGTACCTACAGCAATGGATCAAATTCCGCATCGTACATAGATGATTAATTGCAGTCATAAATCAAAGCCATTTCTAATCATAAATGCGCGTTCATAACTCGCATGTTGCATTGAGAAGTTGCACAAGTACCGAGTATTGACACAGGGAATCACACTATGAAGTCCTTGTGATAATATCTTGCAGCAGTGCATACTCCTTGGGCTTATTTCTACTTTGCTTTTAAAGTTTATTCACATTAACTAATTTTCGTGCCAAGAACCTAAATAAAATGAATAATGAGAAAAAATAAAAACATAATGTGATAAAGTATATACTGATAATTTTTGTGATGAAAATTAATTGAGTATTAATTGAATAATCTGTAATTTTTATAGCATGAAATACACTCCGTTGCAATCTGGTGCATGTGTATGTCCATATATGCGTGTATACATATGGGGATGTAATATATATGTATGCGTGTGTGTGTGAGCAAGAGAGAGAGTGAATGACTGAGTGTGTGTGCGACTGTATATATATGTATCTATATATAAAGATACATATATCTGTGTGTGTGCGTGTGCGTGTGCGTGTATGTGTCGTGTGTGTGCGTGTGCGTGTGCGTGTGCGTGTGCGTGTGTGTGTGTGTGTGTGGCGTTGTGTCTGTGTGTGTGTAGACATACCTATACATATTGTCTCTTTGCGGTGTCTTCTAAATTGGCCTTCCAACCCCCACAGCTTTCCTTACAAACCACTTCCGTCCAACGCATTATACCTCCTCCTTCACCGACAAACTGATTCTTCGAACTGATTGTCCAACAAGTCCCTCTCATAAACGACCTTTTGGAAGCTCTATTTCCGCCGACTGTCCTCAGTAAACTCAGTTAAAACCTATTAGTAAAGTTCCTGCAGCGCGTTTGCTCTCGTGTACAGGGTTGGTCTGAGGAGAAGAGCCTGGGAGTTGCCGGAGTGTGTGTGGTGTGGGGTGGTGTTGGCGTGTTGGTGTCGGTCTGTGGTGTGGGGGGGGGGGGGCGTGTTGGTGTGGGTCTGTGTGTGTGGGGGGGTGGGGTGTACGGATCGGTGTGTGTGTTGTGTGTTCCATTTATACACGCATAAATAGCTAGAAGGATAAATAGAGAGTGAGAGTGAGTTACCGTGTTTGTAGGTGGGTGGGATGTGTGTGTGTGTTTTGTGTGTGCATTTATACGCGCATATATAGCTAGATGGATAAAGAGAGAGTGAGAGTGAGTGATTGTGCGTGTGTATGTGTAAAGATATGTGTGTGTGTGTTTGTGTGTACATTTATACACGCATATATAGCTAGATAGATAAAGAGAGAGAGAGTGAGAATGAGTTGATTGTGTGTCTGTGTGTGTGAAGCATCGTGAACAGAATTCCACTGGCCTTGATATAATCATCATCCTTAGTTCTCTGACTCTTTCTTAACCTTCCAGAACCCTCGACGAGATGTCACTGCGCCGGTTCCTCCTGCCGTTCTTGTCATGCCTCGCCCTGGCTCCTCTTCTTGCTCAGGGCGGAGCGGAGGACAGTAGGTGTTCCCCGTCTTTTAACTTCTTTGGTTTGTGTGTGTGTGTGTGTGTATGCATATATATACACATATATAGCCATTTATACACACACACAGA